TTTTTGTGTTTTGTATAAGACGATTGCAATGAAATGTCTCCATGCTTGTCTTTGTTTGATAATCGTGATGCGAATGAAGTTCTTTCAATTTTGTACGTACCCGAATATATGGTTATCGAAGGTTCCTTGTACAGGGCGTGCATTCGTAGGGACATCGCCTTTTTTCGTTTTGTTTTCGCAGCTCGTCGCATTGTTGATGGAGACAGGGATGGCCGGGGGGTGGGGAGGGAGGGGGGCGTGGTCGGTTCTGGGGGGTTGCGTTCGGCGGGCAGGGGGGGGGTTTGGAAGGCCTGGGTTATTCATGGAGGGGGGGGGTGCTGTCCCACGATGTCGTCTTTTTTGGTCATTGGTTGTCTTGTCACCCGATGCAAGTGGGCACGACGGTTGAGTGTTGTCCGCCGTGTTGTGGGGAAAACATACAAATTGCGGATTGCCAAACGATAGCGCGCCATTACTCCTGCCCTGCCCCCATGACCACCATTTCGTTATAAGTACCGAGGCATCGGGCCACACCGCAGTCATCGGAAAGCGTGCATGTCATGTTCGCGCGGCGCGGTGCTTTCGCCGTCGCATTGTAGCTTCTCGCCATCCCCCCCACCCCCCCCCCCCCCCCCCCCCCCAAATCTTCGTCGTCCAAGCTTCTCGCCGCCTTGTACTATAGGCGCCATCGCTGTTTTATCGCCGTGTTTTGGGAGCGCCGCCATCTCATCTTCTCGCCTCCTTCGACATTACTCGCCATCAAGCGTGCTCTATGTGCGCCGCCATCTAATCTCGTCGCTGCCTGAAACCTCCGCCACTATAAACACCGACGACCTTCCTATCATGCGTCGCGCCATCGTTTCTTCTCGCCGCCATCTGCTTTCGCCACTATCAACCACCACTCGCCGTGTGGTACTATGTGGCGCGGAAAGATCTTCTCGCCGCCATCTCCGAGGTCGACGGATTCACGTTCTTCTTACGCGCCTTCCATTCCATCTTCAACACATGACACGCAATGTCTTCTCGCCCCGTTCCATCTCGGAGAGTTCTTGGGAAACAAGTCAGTGAAGGCGAGGTCGCACCGAAGAAAGGTCGCCAAAATCCCGCGAAGAGAAGAAGGGGCGTCGAAGGCGGGAAGGCCGCAGTTGGGAGAGAGGTGGAGCCAGATTGGGTGGATGCATAGGAGAGACAGGAGGAGGACGACGACTTCGAAGAAGTACAGGAACAAACTCTCGTGAGGAAAGTGAAGCAGAGAATGGGGGGTGCGATACGAATCGAAATGGGGGGTGTGGGCACTGCGGAGGTGGCTCCTGATCAGCAGCAGATGCCGTCGAGTAAGCGGAGCGAACAGGCTGTTGGCGTGGCTAGCAGTTCCCAAGCTGTGGTCGACCAGTCGACGATGCCTTCCCCTGCGCCGCAGCCGCACGGGGGGGCAGTTCAGGGTGCGTTTGTCGTGGCGGACATTGCGAAGGCGGGCGATGGCGGGGCGGAGGGCGAAGACGACGAACCGCTAGTGAAGAAGCTTCGCGGGCAACGTCCAGAGGCGAAAGCGATGGAGGTGGCCGCGAGGCTGTGGACCGACGACATTCGGTTCTGGAATCAAACGCGGGGAAAGGAAATCATCGACATCATGCACGAAGCCCGAGTTCACCTCTTTGATGTGGCGACGGGGGTGCAGCCATCGGCGATCCGAAGGAGCATCAGCCTCCCCCACAGTTCCATTCCGCAGAAGAAGATCGAAGACGCCTCGGAGTTGAGGGCGGCGAAGGAAAGGGCGTTAAAGGTGGAGAGCATTGCGAAGAGGGCCATCCATGGCTGGATTTTCAAGTCCGATAACAGACACAAGGGGTATCACTTGGTGTACCAGTACGCCTTGAGCCACGCGGCGACTGACATGGCGAGAGCGATGTGGGCATCGGAGGACTGGCGTTCATTAGTCAGCCCGATGACGATTCGAAACACGCTGGAGTTGGGTATGAAGCTCCCTTTGTGGTTCGTCGGAGCGAACGTGGTGGACAGGCACCAGGAGGACGAGTGCGCGGCTTACCAGGAGGCCATCGCTCAACGTTTGGTGCGCGATTTCATGAATGTGGTGGAGGAGGCGCAGGCGATGGACTCGGGGCGTGTGTCTTACAAGCGCCTGAAGTCCCTGGCGGAGGCGATGAGGTACTTGCTGGCGGCGGGGGCGTGGATAATGAGGATGGCTGGGGACGATGCAAGATCGCACTTCGACGCCTGGGTTTTCGTGCAGTTGACGTCGAAGACCACCCTTCTTGCCGCCATGGATCGCCATTTTGACTCCCTTCGTCATGTCTTGCTAGCCTCAACTGTGATGACGGAGAAACTGGGAAGACCGCCTCCGACCTTCGCTCCCCCCCCACTGTACATCCCCGACTGGGCATCGAAGTGCGGCGTCACGTTCAATCACGACGCGACTTTGCACTCCTCGATGGAAGCAACGAAGACGGATTGGCTCGGCACATGCCCCCCTGAGGAGGAAGACTCGGACGATGACGATGTTGATGGCGCCGAGGGCGGGCGATCGTTCGTGAAAGGGTTTAGTAAACGTCGAGGGCTGGGGTGCGTCATCCATGTGCACAAAGATCATGTCGATGGGGGAAGACGAAGACAAAGGTGAAGATGGTGGCAGTGCAACATGGACTGGATCGCCAGAACGAGACCCCCTTTTTTGGATGATGACTTCGACGACGAAGATGATGATGGCAACGAGGGCGGGTATGTGCAGCGGGGAGACTGTATCGATTGCCGTCACGATGCCACCATTGCTGTTGCGTCCTTTGTCGGGGCTTTCACGCTGGGAGTCGCGCTTCCTGTCCCTGTTTTCCGTGGTTCGTTTTCTGTCGATTTTTCGTCTTGCACACCCACACCACCGAGGATCGATCGGTTGGTAGTGCACATAGTTTGCGTCATTCGATGTCTACTACTTAGGTTGTCAAGTGGACGGCACGTGTTTTATCTTCTTCGTAGGAGGACAAACGCCTTTGTGTGTTTTTCTGTCAGCGCCGTGTATATCATTTCGTAATCGTCCTTCACTTTCCGTTTACGTTCTCTGCGTCCTCTTCCTGCATTCATTGTGGATTATGAAGAAGCGGAGGCTTCGGTTCTGTACACACTGATTGTTTTTAACGCGCTTCGAAGTCATGTTCCAATTGACAAGGGAAAACAACGTTGTTCTTATTTTCATTCGAACAATGGATTCGTGTATTTTGTGGGCGATTGGACAACGGTCTTTGTTCTGGGCATATGTTGTGTTCACGGGGATGTGTTATGTTAATGGGACAAGGGTTTTGTAATGTCCATGGAATGATGTGTTGATTGCTAACGTCGACACCGTGCATTCAAAGGATGAATTGTACCTTGGAAGGAACAAATAGAACGATATTCGTGCATTCACGCATTCTGATCACACACACGCACACAAACACACACACACACACACACACACACACACACACACACACACACACACACACACACTCACACACACACACACACACACACACACAC